GTCTCCCACCGAGCGTCTCGGGAAGTAAACTTCGCTCCCTAAAATTTGAAACCCCTGAAAAATTGAGGACTCTGCTTAAAACTCTCAACCATTCGTCAATACACCAAAGTTCCGAAAGAAGTAAATTTTTCTCCACAACGAAACACATGAACCGTCCAACACATTAAAAAAAAAAAAAAGTACCGGAATAGTACTACCTTGCCCCTTCCCTCAGCGAAAGAGGAATCCCGTATAGGGAGGACAGCCATTTCGGCTGGTCAGATGAAACCCCGTATATGTGGGCCAACGAGATGCATACCGAGTCCACACGCTGTCGCTCAAGAAAAAAAAGAAAAAAAAGGTNATATATATACTAGAAAAGATAAAATTGCACTCTTATTCGTTAGAATATAAAATTTAAGTACCCGCCACTTACATAACGGTTTTGTTATTATGTCCTCATATTATTAGGTACATTTCCTTTGTTCATGTGCTTAATCATATAATAAAAACTGTATCAACGCTGAAACTATAGCGAAATTAAATTATGCACAACTTTGTTTTGCGCCTACACCCGAGCAAGTGTCAATTGTAAACTTGATTGTGTTACTCTTAGTTTTTACCTGACTATAATAGTTTATCATACAAGGTACAAAAGCAATTGGTTATTCAACTATCAATAATAGTTAGCATTTTTTATTAGATCAGTTTTATAACTTTTGAAGTTTTCACAAACTAAAACTAATTCATCTATTTTCCGCAAGTTTCACTAGAATTATAGTCTCGTTGTGACAGCTAGATCCAATAACTTCTGATAAGTTGACCTTACTCGAAATTACTTTCCTAACTTATTTATAATAATTTAATGTGCAGATATTAAATGAATACTTATTACAAATGTACAATAATAATAATTAGTATGTAAAAAGCTTTTATTATGTATTAATAAAATCATTTATTTTGTAATGCTTGTAATATTTTAATTAATATTATTACTCTTACATTCATAGTTTACCCCTCATTTTTTATTAAATACATAGTCACAATCATAATATTTCGCTGTTTGAAAAAATAAAGCCATGTAAACTGTAAATAATTGCTGTTTTGTTTGTTAATGGCTGTAAATGGTGATCAGTGAATAAATCTACCAAGCTTCTATTACCTAGCTTCATTAGTCTTATCTCGAGTTTAGCTATTTACTCTGAACCATCGTTAATTGAGTGCACTGATAACAGGTTAATGGCATACAATAACGTCGATTGTAAGTGCTTCATTATTAAATTGTAGTCGTAATAAGTGTTTTGCTTGTGATCGATAAATAGTAACTGTTTATCAAAGCAGATATAAACGTTTATTTATTTGATACTTTTCGTACGGTACTTCTTTTGATTATTCAAATTTTTTACTTCCTTGTAGCTTTGTATACAATATCAGGTATTATTTTCGTTGAGTATTAATTAAATTTTATTACTTTCCCTATTATTTTCATCTTTGTCTGGGTGAGAAAGAGATCAGTCAAATCTCAGTCAAGCTCAATCAATCACTATCTCAAACTGAAATTTTTTTGGAGAAAAAATATTTTGTGAGTAAATTGATTCTTATCAATAATTTAAGTTCCAGTACAAAAAATTTTTTGTATAGTTTAAAGCATACATCTTTAACCACATTGGCTCTTTGTTAGTGCCTCTGAATAAGGGCTGAAATTATTGCAAATTTTTAAAACCTAAGAAGGATAAGTTAAATTTACATATCCACAATTTAAAATATATAATATTGAAAATAAAAATTTAAATAAAACTTCTAACAGAAATGAAGATTTCAACAAATAGCAATAAACAAAAAGTTGGCAAAACTCCATTTCAACTGATTGGAAAAAATTTTTCTTTATTACTTTTTGTTACATTATCATTACGAGTATTTTTATACGATAATTATACACCAAAATTGAGAGAAATATAAAATGTCAAGTAAAATATTCATGTATTGTCACTCGTCTATAGATGATACCCATTATATAGATTGTTATAGTATAAATTACAAACGTATATTTCGTATTTCAAAATCTTCTATAAAATTTTGATCATGATATGGCAGTTAAGAAAAGGTTAGCAGAAAAGAGTAGCAAATGTTGTAGACTTGACACCGAGGTATTTTCTTCTCTTGGCTCGATTTATGGTAGTGATATCGTCGGGTTATGCTTGACATCGTGCCTCTGCGATAACTAAAAACTCGTCTACCCAACCAGTGCAGTGTGTTTAAATATTCAAAGTTTTGCAGTCAAATGTTGTCATTGTGATGATATAAACACATTTGGCATGAAAATCTAAAAAAGTGGAAGATTCAGGAGCCAAGAAACTTTATCCGGAAGAATGTAGACTCAAGAAATAAAAATGGAAAACTTATCAATCAGGTCACCAACGAGGTCAATTCCGACATCGAGAAATGGTGCCAGAAGCAATTATCCATGGGAATGGGTAGAAGGGTTTGGTTCTGTGATATCATACGATAATTCTGTAAAATTTTGTGAAATTTTTTGATAATGATGCATTTTTTACGTCAAGTTAAAAAAGAGTCTTTAGCAGAACTTTTCTTTAAGTATACATAAAATTGAATGCATTTAACAATCAATAAAACTCCTGTACTGGAAGATTTTGTTTATAAAGTTACATATGTAGCTTACTAAGCATATGAAATTAGTATTTAAGCTTTTTAGCAGTATTTGACTTGTGTAATTTACAACTGATTAATTGAAAGACACATCAACGTGTATGTGCTTTAAACATCAAACCTTACAACTAATGTGCTATTTATTAAAGCACTATATTTAGTAGTCGAAAATTTTTGTTTTTCAAACAAAAGTAAAACCTTTTTTCAAACCAAATATTTATATATTTAAAAAAAAATCAAATTACCAATCAGAAATTTTATTCACAATTAGTGTGACATTGATAAAGCTTAGGTATAATGCACTAAAAATCGAGGTTTTTAATCAATATATAGCTGGTCTCGGGATACTTTTTCTTATCCTGCAGTTCTATTCTATAAGACTATCTACTTTGCCGACAAATGTTACAAAATTTGTCATACCCCCCCCCCTCGTATCTAAAAAGCACCCGCTGACGGTATACATCAGAATTTGGTAATTAACGATCTATGAAGGTAATGTAGTTTATAATAATTTATAAACATATCAATTTATATAACGCTTTTTGATAAGTTTTTCAATATTTTCATAAATTATTCGCTTGCCATATTTATTTGAAATAATAATAAAGTAAAAAAAATATTGTGTTTTATGTAAGACTAAATGGGAGATTTTTTAGGGATTTTACTATTTGTACTTTTTCCCGTTTTTTTCTCTTTTCAAGCTTTTTCTTAACAACTTTGAAACCAAGAAATAAAAGCTTTGTTTGATACAGATGAGAATGATCATTTCAGATTATATTATACACTGAGATAGGTAATTAAAATATCAATTACTGTACGATGCTTTAAAAAATGATATCACAGATTACATAGCATTTTTAATACTTCACGTGCTACTCTGTTTAAACACAGCACANAAAAACATCTCGTTTTTTTTTTTTTTTTTCAAACTAGATACGGGTGAAAAAGGAGCACAACATTTTATGGTTAAAATCAATTGTTTAAGCACGTGATGAGAATATGTTCCAAATTATAGTATTGTAATGTTGTAGTGAAAGATACAATACAACAGTAATTATTATACAAATAATTTTTGGAAATGTAATGTTATGAAGTTTGAATAGAGTTCACTAGACTTGACTAGACAAAATGGGTGAAAAAGCCTCCAGTTCGATTTATATCCAGGTATTTTCTGCAGGTAATATTCGATAATCATGGTATAATATATAATCATGTAGAATGGAAATAAGTATATAATTAAGTTTTTTTTGTAACTTTGTTCGTTTTTATCGGATGTATAAAAATTTCATTTTAATTTTGATACATGATTTGGTACATATTTTTCTCTAAAAGGCGATAAAAATATTGTTAAGAAAATATTACGATTGTTATTTATGTAAACAGATATTTCGAATATTAATTAGTAAATTTTTCACGCTTACGTCCAACTTGGTTATATTTTGGGTACTAACTAATATTTTTATCTTTACTAACACAAAAATTACGTTAAAATGATGTGTTGAAATTGTAAAAAATTAATTTTCATTTTTTAGAGAAAAATAAATAAAGTATACAATTTTTTTATTTCATTAGGCTTATAGTGAAAAAGTATCTGATTCAAAATATTAAATGCTAATAATAAGCAGACATTTATTTTTATATAATTATTTTTTCATCATGTTTTACTGCTTAAGAAAAATCTCAAAAATTAAAAAAAAATAGAAATACATTTGTAAAAGAATTTTTCATCATTTGAAAGTCATTACAATGCGTTTCTAGAAATTTTTAAACGTTTTCTAGAATTACAATTTTTGTTACAAATGAAAAAAAAAATTTGTTACGAAAGCAATAACTTCCGATAAAATTATTTTGATTTATCGTTTGGCAGCTAAAATGTCTTTAAAATAAAAAAAAGAAAGATTTGGGAAGATCATCGACTAATTTTGCCTATCCTAAAAGACCCTAAAAGAAAACATTTAGATTGCAGGAATCAAGCCGGAAACTTTTTAATACACTTATCTGTCTATTGTCGTTTCCCCTTTAAGTAATAATATTTTAATTTTAAATAACAGAAAGTTGAAAGTAAAAAATAGATAACGTAAGTTTATAGCTTTTATTTTAAAATACCCATAATTAGAAAAAATTGCAAAGCGAGAATTTCCCACGGGTTCCTCCGATGTATCAAGAAAAGTAAAAATTGCGTTAGCTTTACTGATAGCCTTGTATCATAAGCTCTGATCGAGTTAGATGGGTGTGCACTAGTTTTTCCTTTGATGTCACCTGCGGACAAGATATAAAAGAGCCGGTTCCCGACGAGCTGTCAGTACTTTGGTGCCCCTTGACCAGAGACAATCGACCAACGTCACACGCTGGCGCAACCATCTACAAGTAAACTTTTGACTCTGCTACATTTAAACGGGATTGCGTATTTCACATTTAAGTACTTGAAACCAAGTCTTTTCATTAATAATTAATCATTTAACTTTTGTTATACGACGATTGCCATTGAGTTTTTTTACATTGAGCAAATTTATTCATTCTTTATTGTGAAATAAACGTAGTCAATAATACCTTTTAAAAATTGTACATGCTTACACGCTTGGCGCAATATTAAAAAAAAAAAAAAAAAAAGAACAAACTTCAATTTGTCCATTGCATTCTGTTATAAATAGCTACGATCTCCTCAGTAATTCAAAACCTTGTGTACTTGGCAGGATCATTTATCGTCACTTATTCCTAGAATATATAAAAAGCGGCGTCGACCAGCAGCTCAGTATTTTTCTATCTTCTAGATCGTGAGGATCTAACAAGCTCTAACGTTTGTTTTACAACAGGTAAATTTATTAGTTAAACCATCAAAAATCAAAAATATTTATTTAAAAATAATTTTTTAACGCATTTCTGTTCTTTGCCATCCTATTGCAGATAAATAAGCACAATGTCAGCAGCTCGTTTCATGTTTGTTCTGTTTGTTGTGGTTGCCGTTGCAATATTGGACGTTAGCAGTGCCGCTTACAGAAAGCCACCTTTCAATGGAAGTATCTTCGGCAAACGTGCAAACACCATCACAGGCATGTCTGCTTTTATGACTTTCAAAATACAATTATCCCAAATTCTAAAAAATTAAACATCGATAATATTTGTATGAGATCATTTTTTTTTTTTTTTTTTTCTAGAAAAAACATTTAATGTTAAACGTATACAAATATTTTTATAAGTCTTGGATTGCATGCACTTTCTTTTTAAATGATTAATAATCACCTTATTTGGTTTTAACTATTGGCTGTGTATAATATTTTCAATGATTATGAAGATTTAATGTAGGTACACTAATTTTAAAAGACATTCAAGCAAACCAATTGGTATTGATTACTTCTAATAGTACTTCTACCCAGTCAAATTACGTATGCGACATGATATATGTATTAAAAATGTTGCTTGTACACCACTAAAAATCCTTGTTCCTCCAATGTTTTTGTTTGATAGATTATGATGTGGCCAGCCGTGCAATGGACGCTATTTGTGAAATAGCAAGGGACAACTGCAATGCATGGTATTCTCATCAGGACTCCAATTGAGATGAAGAGAATCAGAAACTTGCTTTGTTATGGACTGCCACAAATAAGTTAAAATCGCTGCACCAACGAAAGCTCGAGCTTTTTAATAATTTATAAAAAGAAATGCAATCTAAATGACAATGTTTATATAAGCTTACATGACTTCTATGATTTTTCACAATGTACACTTTATATTATTTTACTTCAATAAATATATAGATGATGACTACGTTACTGTCGTTATTTCAATGTTCTCCAAACAGTTGTCACATAAGTATTAAAAAAAACTCCACGAAGCATGCGTATTCGAATATCTCCTTGCATTTCTTTCAAAGAAATAAAATCCTTCCTTTGGTAATTTATGAGAACCTACAAATCTGTCCGTACTGGAGATAGATGATGTTACTTGGATTATTGTTGTTGTATAGCACTATTTTTTACATAAATTTACCATTGGTAGCCTACGATGTACCAAAACGGATGAGTTTCAAGATTATTATAAATTTTTTGAAATTAAGTTCTTAAAATAAATTTTTCAAAAATATAAAACAACAGAAAGAGTAGTTGGTTACTTAAAAATTTGCTTAAATTTTGCAATTCCACGTAAAATAAATTGCAACTATTACGTACTTTTCAATTTACAAAAATTGAAACATCGATCAATACAGCAAATTTAAGGTAATTAGTATTCTAAACACAAATCAAGTTTACAATGATAAGGGCCTAAAGTAGGAACCCGTATCACATTAAACAACAATACCACGATTCATGTATTACATTTATTCTTAATAAAAGAAAAACAACTGTCCAAAAAGTAAATTGTTTTTATGTAACAGTACTTGGTGAATAATTAAGTTAAACAAAATTTTACAGCATATACAAATAAAAATAGACTCTTTTAAAACAATAATAAACTTTTAATTCAATGTTTATTTTTTCAATAGCCCATTTTTCAGTTATATCTTACGATTACGTGTATTTGAAATGAATAAGACACAATGTGTTATGTGACAGATGAGAAATTAATTCGCGACCCGTGACGCACTAATAAAATATAGATAATGTTATGCAACTAGCCAATAGGAAAAAAAAGTCTTGAACCAGTGGGTGGTGAAGTAATTTCCCTGCATCGTACACTTGAATTTACAGTATTGATGGTATGCACGTCAAGAACCTCCTTAGCACAGCAGAATTTTAAATTCTGGACAAAACATTTTCAGCCTGGGGTTCGAAAATTTGCAAAAAAAAAAGAAAAAAAAACGACAGTACCCAGTGCAACTTGGACATCGTACGTGAGTGAAATAGATAATTAATGCAATTTGCGGTATAAATAGTTGCTTTTGATCGAGTTAAATTCAGTCTAATGTGCATTATCAAGGCAAGATGAAGAAACCAAGCTGTCGATTCATTTTCGAGAAGCATGTTGTCTCAGGTAAAACATTCTTATTACCATTCAAATAAAATTTGAGCAGAATATTTTTTCTGAATCACACATACCTTATACAACAAAAAAATAACAATAACTAGATAGTGTCAATGGCCTAGAGGATAGCGTACAAGTCTTAGAGCCTCAGACTCTAGTGGCCGAGAACTGAATTTCCATAAAAAAATGTTTTAATTTAATAACTAGTTTTTTCGATGGGAAAAAAGAGCCAATTCGCCAAAAAATCTGATTTTTAAAAACACATTAGTGGATTTTTACGATTGTACAGAAAAAAAACTTGTATTTATGTATAAAGTAAATTCCACTTTAAGACAGTAGTTCAATAAAAATAAGGTGCCATGCTTATCACTATAATTTTTTATGTTTTTTCACGATTAATTTTTACCATAAGTTCTAAGCACATTTAACATGACTTACCTCGGTTACTTTTTGTTTCTATGAAATGAGAAAAAATTTTTGTCTCATATTTATTGATAACCCACTTCAAGGAACTTATGAATATTATTTTTTTTTTTTCCTATTATGGGATGGATGAGCGAGTTGTCTGATGAAGCTTTGCAACAGGGCTCACACTAAAGACTTCCAAATTCAGGGATGTATAGGAGTGGTAAAATGAAAAATGTTTTTAAAAAATGATATAGTTTTAGGATTGTCATTTCCTATAATATGGTAGAAAGTACCCATTAAATCCACTTATTTTTGAACACAATAAAAAATCAATAAAAAAAATAAAACAAGCAGTTATAACACATATTAAAATAACAAAAGCAATAACAGAAAAAATAATAATTACAATAATCATTTCATTTCAGCGTTCCTAATCGTGGCGCTCCTATTAATTTTAAAAAACCAAGAAGTAACTGCAGATAATGCCAACAACAACAATAAACAAGTACCAGCATTTTTTCTAAAGATTGCAAAAACCATTCCTCGCATAGGTAGGAGAAGTCAACCAAATTATGTTGGTGAAAACGTAAGGAATTTAAAATTAAAATTGAATCACGCGTCCAAGTTTGAAATGCATGACTTTTATTAAAGGCTAATATAGCTGAGGAGGTTCCATGGCATGATACTAATGACCAAGTTAGCGATGTGTCTAAACGCAAAGACGGTTTTTCGCCAGGTAATTGAAAATTTTATTTTTTACATTAAATCTGAAAATTATTAACTTTTTTGCATCCCATCGCTTATTACTTGTAAAAAGATAGCGATACGTGGAACTGGCAACATTTTCCATTGGCAGTTGAAGGACCACCTGAACTATGGAGAAGCTTAGCAGGCTATAGCCGCGATCCCCTGTATGGAGTTTCAAATGAAAAGTGGGTAGTATTTCAAAACGGTTTTATTGATTGATTCTATACCAATGATTTTTAATATTTTTAGCTTCAACAACGAACTCTGGCTACAGGATTAATGAGAAAGTCATCCGATAGAATAGTAATGGAGTAATTCTCATAATTAAAGAGGATTAATTTTAAAAACTATTTCATTGGTGTTGGAACAAAAAACAAAATAATGATAAAAAAAATTTGTAAGTGCATTATTATCTAAATAAAATCCTAATACTCTAAAGCGACATTCTTTCTTCATTTGTTGTTAGTTTAACCATATGTAAAAAAAAATCAAATACAAAGTTTGGAAAAGTAATTTTTTGTTTTTAAACTCTACAGCCACTTTTGCAACTATTTTAAAAAACTTGTAGACCCAAACGTACTATTTAGAGTTTTTATTCTGCTCTTGGTATGAAAAATAATTTAGAAAGTGTGAAAGCTAAATTTAAAAATTGCGACAATTAGTTGTTAGTTTACCAAGAGTAGATAATTTATCGTATTAAGATCTCTATACCGCTGGATGGTACAAGATTCTGTGAGGTAAAGGGTACAAAGTCAGCTTAAAGCCTTCAGTCTCGCGCGAAAGATGTCAGTAGCAGTCGTGGTGAGTCGACGAGCAACAACACCATGTATCAGTAGCCGTCGTTGTTTCGTTTCCGAGCGGTTCTCCTCGTGGTACAATAAATTGTTGTAATTACAATAATTCTGGTGTTTGAAGCAACTTTGTGTTTAGGTACGTCGACGCCTCGCTGGCCGACCGGCAATTTTAATTCATTATTGCGCCGTCGACGGGGCATTACGTGTTTGTAGGGTTTGCTCCTTTGCTGGTGCCGCGCTGACCTAAATACGGTCCCAGACGCAATCGAGGATTGTTTTGTGTATACGTATATTCGCCCCGAGATAGGTATACTCGTTAATCCATCCGATGGAGTGTTATTATCATTTTTTTTTGCCCACTAACGCGAAGAAAAACATTTTCATCCCAAAGTCGGGTGACTGGCTGAATCGCGCGTTTCTTTTACTTTTCTGTTTTAATCGACCAACGACTTTTATAAGAGAGTTCGTGGGCACAGAAAACAACATCTTGTTTATTTTTACTCATGCAAGTGTATACATATTTATATACGCGTGTAATTATATAGATATTTTTTTCTTCCCTATTTATTCGGCTATGTTGTGTAATTCCGACACGGGTTCAGATGCGCAATTTTATGTGTTTGTGCCTTGCGGCTTTTTACTTGGGAGGGGAAAAAAAAAAAATCAATTTAATTTTCCAAAGTCGTAACTTTTCCTCGGAAGGAATAAATTTTATGACAGCGCCGAAGTATACAAAAGCAGGTACATTCGTGCCGACGATGAGGGTCTTGAGTGGGATCTGCGCCTAATGAAGTACAACGAGTTCCTCGAAAAATCTTGAAGAAAAGAGCTCGAATGCGTGAGTTTTACGCGACAAAGGAATCGGGCGATGGAGCAAAACATTCGATGATTGGAGGTATTTTGCAACACCTGTATCGCAGACCCGCGTGCGGTAAATGCGTCATAAATAATACATAATAAGTACGGGCCCTTTGAACGTGAAACGAAATAAAATGATGAGCTCGCACTTTGAGAAAGTACCACCGAGCGAGGTATACGTGAACAATACACGTAAGGTACTTATTTATAGGTGCAGCCACACCATCGTCAATACAACATTGTATATATTCCCTGAATCATTTTCGGCCTGTCCCTTTTTCCTCGGAGTCTCTCGCGAGGACTCGCCAACTGGGTATTTTATATACTCATTCCTTTCACGTAACGCGCCCGCTTAGATGTACATATGATATACGTACGTGTATATATACATATTAAAAGTTGTACGGCGTACACACTTTCACCGGTCTACAGTTGGTAGCGGTAATTTTGAAAATTCTCGGAAAAGTGCGCACGAGCGCCTCGTAAAATGAACGCTCGCGGAAACTCGCGCCACGATTTTACGGAAACCGCGCACGTAACGCGTTCTCCCTCCGCATGGGTATACATACATTGCTTCTTTCAACGTCCACACTCTTTGTCTCTCTATTTTTTTTTTTTTTTTTTTTTCGTTATTCCACCCCCGCAGACACGGGAAGTATCATTATCACCGATGGATAGTATATTATACGTATATCATTATCATGGCGATGAGCACCCACGAGACGCACGCAAAATCGTCACCCAAAGATGATTTTTGTTCTCGAGGCCGTCCTTTCTTTGCGCTCCTCCGCCGCGACACGATATTATAGGCACACACACCCGTGACTCAGGAATGTATTGGCGGAGCTACGAAACCTGTATTATTGCGCGCAAGACGACGTGTGGGTATAATCGAGTGGGTGTGGGTGTGCTTCTCCCCGAAACGATCAAATAATATCTCCCCTATTCCCCAAGGATATGTGATGTTTATATTCGTGGAAGCATTGAAGAACACCCGCGCGTATATATAAATGCGCGTCCCGATATATCATATACCTATATATTCCACGACATACACGAAGTTGAGCGGGGCAATGTATGCGTGTAGATGGAAAAAAGGATGAGCACCGGGGCTCGGATTTATATTACCTGAAAAAAAGGGCGAGTGGGTGGGTGGGAGAAAGAGGTCGGAAGTAATTATAAGCCCGACTCTTTAAATATTCCGCCGCGGCGGCGCTTCGCGTGTGTATATACGTGTATGTGTGTGTGGATGAGCGGGGAGAGTTGCTGATGGGCCCTGCGCTGGGCTCTTTGTTTTCGCCGGTGCCAGCCCCTATATGCCTACTTGTTTCACAAACGAGCTAGGAGGGCGACTAGACGAGAGGGAACCCCAGCGCCGCTCTCCTCTTTACGACCTTTCCCTCCTTTTTTTTTTCTTTTTTTCATCTCCTCGAAATCAAGAGGAAGAGGACCCACGTGCGCGGACGAGTCGGGGGCTTCCTCTCGTTTTTGCATCAAACCCACATTTGCGCCGGTTTATTGGGTGCTAAAACCATTCGAGTCTGCGTTATGGGCTCGAGAGAGAGAGAGCCAAGGGGTTTTCTAATCTCGCGTGGATCGGCCGCTCGTTAGCTTCTCCCTATTATACTATATACCCTTTCGTTTATTGAATGCGTCGTCGTGTTTCGCGTGGTTTATTCCAACTCTACGTGATGGCTAGCTGTGCGTAAATGACGCTATATTCACGTGTTTGCGGAGGATACGCTTTACAATATGGATTTGGATATGACTGGGCACGCGACGACTAAGTTTACACCCCCCCTCCTATTTTTTTGGTTTTTTCAGAACTTTGTCGAATAAACGTGTATTTACTATTTCTTTTTTTTTTTTTTTTTTTTTTTTTTCTCTTTTTTACTGTTGAGCCTGTGATGACGCTCGCAGCAGCTCATTACGCAATACGGCAAGACATCGGCAACGACACACGATGTTTCGTACGTTCACGCATAGTATAGGCATTTTTCTGCGCGCGCGGACCTTTTTCCTCTGTTTATAGCTGTAGCAAACAAGCGTGTGCAAGCGCCTTGAGTGCAGGTACCCACTCCTCTATGAGTTTTTCCTCCACCAGTGGGGTAGAGGTGGTCTGCGTGCACTGCAATTAAGAGATGCAGAAGAAGAAAAAAAAAACGAACGAGTATATATACGAGCAATAGGAGCGATCGGCGCTGATACCGATACGTCATGCGAGCCGCGGTTCGGAAAAATCTTCGAGAAAACGGAGCTTGTTGGTAAAAACGTACGAGAAAAAAAAAAAAGGTTTAATTTTACGGGTACATGGCGTTGAATTTCTTTTCTTTTTTTTTTTCAATAAATATGAATAGGTAAGTAAAAAACTTGATTTGGTTGTTCATAGTTGTCCCACCAATATGCCAATGTTCTTTAAAAAATCGGTCAAGGAGCCACTCAAAACCTGTAAAAAAAAAAAGGTGATGTCTCGATTCAAGCAAAGGGGGTACATGGGGTCATTGCATGGGAACCCGTGTGGAAACTTACTCCACGGCACGGTATAACAGTAGGTGGTAGCAGTTATTAGATACATTAGAGGCGCGTAGAGGGTGGGCTCGCAACAAGTGCACACGCACCCATCAGTTAATCACAATGCGCCCTCACGAATGATCATGCCAATTGCGTAAATATATCTCGAGCAATTTGCGGCATACGATGAGTGACGTATCCCACCCCGTGTCCTCCCGATCGACAGAAAATTATCGCGGCCCGCTCCTCTGATGGTTTATTCCATATACGTGCACGTACACAGGATGGTGAGATTACATGCGGACAAAAGAAGTCACTGCCTGTTCCGTTCCGTGCGTACACCTATACTATATACACGTAACCGGTACACGTATAGCGGCTCGATCATCGAGCACCGTGAAGCGTTTAATTCGACGAGCGATAAGCAGCCTAGACCCACGAGAAACCGATCTGATTCGCCAAACGCGTATTTTACGTAGCACATATTTATATACGTGTATCGTTCACGTATGTATACTGTCACAGTTCACGGCAATCCGTCAAGTCTTTTTTATTACTTTTCTCGACAGTAGACGAGAGAATCTTGTCTTTTATCGCCGAAGATATAATCTTCCATCCGTCGTCAAATGACTGGATGAAAGTACCTACCCTCCGAATTGCGCTCAATTAGGGGTGTGGGTGGAGGCCTCTCCGTTGCTCGAGTTAGAACAAACCAGGGCTCGGATACTTCATTTGATTCATCGGCCATACGTTCGCGGCGATTACCATCGCGAAGTGAAAAAATCTCCCCTCCCCCCCCCTCCGATTACGATTTAATTGGAGAAAACACCCGAGTGGCCATTATTGCTGCTAATATCAAGCCGCTCTCGTTTTCAAGTGCACTTTGTTATATATATGCTACTCTCATAATTGACGCAATCATTCGCTGGCGTCTATTAGGGAGTAGCGGGTTCATCGTCATTATTCATACGGAAGTGGAGTGAAGAAATCGTTGTAATCGACGCGTGGGCGTTGTAAAATGCACGAGTACAAATAAATACGTGTACTAGACGTATGAAACTCGAGAAAATCGATCGGCCGATTTGAATGCAACAACGAGAGGGAGCATCGTCGCGCT